ACAAAAGCTACATGGGGTAGCACCTCTCCTGCTGTCCTCATCTCCTCTCTGTGTCCACATCAAGCTCCCTCTTAGCTCACACTGTCCCCTATGAGAAGCAGGGTCAGAGCTGAACGAGCAAGGAGAAAAGCCCAGCACAAGCTACTGCTCACTTCATCCTAGAGCCTGTCCCCATTGGTCAAAAACAGAGTTGGCTAGAAAACAACAGGCATGTTTCAAAGAAGTCTCGAAGCTTTGCAATGTCCTATTGCAAAGTTTTTATTGTACTACTTTCTTTCCCTGGTGAAAAATGAAGAGTCTCCTACACACTGCCAAGTAACGTATCAATTGTGGAAGTAAAGTTTGATCCACTGCTTGATTGGGCTTGAATACAAACTTTCCAAATTTCTAGTAAGATTCCCTAAGTTTCCCTCTTCTCCTCATCCTCAGTACTTGTCATTTTTTTGTTTTGTCCAAACCACACTTTAAAGGGAAAAAAAATTGAGATCAGAAATGCTGATCTTAAGGAAGACTTTTTTTTTCCCTTCTTTCCCAAATATGCAATTTCAGATATGAACTGAACTTGGATTTCCAGCTTTTCTAAAGTTTATTTATTAATAGCAGTTAAGCTCCTTGAGCAAGTGTGCGCACACACTCCCAACCACCCCTCAAACTGTACAATGGAGCACATGACAGATCTTTCACAATGGGAGCAAAGAAACCTGGTGGTTGCAAAATAAACAAACTAATTAACAAGAGTTAGTCTTAAAACTTTATCCTTGGAAAGCAATATGACAGTAATAGAGATTACACTCCAGTCCTGGAGCCCTGCAGAGAGGGAAACAGATTAGACTTCATTTCATTGCCTGTGGGCTTTTTTTAAGCCTTTTTTCTAAATCTCCAACCAAATGTCATCCCTCATTTCCCTGGACAGCTTCTGTTGTTTTTCATGATTATTTCATCCTATATTTTATCATGGGGTTTCCAAAGCAAGTTCAAAGTTGTTTTTATTTTTCACAATTTGTCATGTCCTGGTACATTGAGTAAAAACCTTAACTGCTCGAGCCACATATTCGAGCAGTAGCCTGTAAATTACAGTGCAGGCACCATTCTTGGCTGTCCCAAAACTACATACAAAGGCAGGGCCATATGCAGCCACAGCACAAATAGAAGCAAGACCTTGCCCATCATTTCCACATACAGAGACTACCTAAGAGAACTGCATATTCTTTAGATGCTGTGCTGCTCTACGGCTTACTTCTCTCCACCTCCCCACATCTGCACATGACTATTGGAAAAAAGAACGAGTGGCAATGCCAAACTGAGGACACCCAAAATTACCCTTCCTGCAAACCCACACCTAGACATGGCCTGGACTCATTCTGTATGGCTTATTACACCTACAAGGCACTACCTGCATCAAAACCCCTCACTTCTACCACACATAAGAATAAATTGACATGGTATTGCTAGCTATTAATGAGATAATTCCTCCTGACCTGCATTAGATAGTTCTACCAGAATGAAATAAGAAAAACAACAACAACAACAACAACAACAACAAACCATTTCTGCCCCTTTATTCTTTGACAAGAATAAACCAAGCAGACAAAAGCAGAGCTAAGTAAGAAGTTTTACTTATGGTGATCATGCAGAAGAAATAATGCACACAAGTTGCCACCCATGCTCTGCTGTGACAAGAAGCCCAGGAGTGGACCTCACAAGCCTGCATGCTGAGGGGCTGCCTTCCCCCCCAAACACCCTTAACTTCTGCAGCCCATCAGCAGAGGAGCTAATGCAAATGTAGCATTTGAAAAACAAAATCAAACTCAATGCAGAAATAATTGCAGTCAGCACAGCGCCTCTTGCTGGCTTTCCACTGTGTCCTGAATTCAAAATGGACATAGAGTCTTTTCTATGCTATTTTCTATGCTATTGTCTATTTTCTTTTCTATGCTGCCCCCTAATTCTCACTTTTTAGGCCACAGCAGATTTTTTTAGCCACCTAGTCGGAATACAACAGTGTAGAGAGCTAGAAAATGTTTGCAGCCAAGTGAAGAGCAAACATAGCCTTTGGGGACTGTGAAAAGAACAGGAACGGCTGGGATTTTTGCTGTGCAGACACTGAGGGCCCTTCTTCCTTCTCATTTTGGAACAGAAAAAAATTAGTTGATGGCCACCTGACAAGTGTTGTTTTCTACCAGTCTCTTTTCCTGCATCTATGCAATAACAAGCAGACATTGGTCAATAATAGGATCAATAATAAGAATTAAAGCTAAGGATATTAAAATTGCTATAATTACATTCCAGACAGAGCTAGGCAGAAAATTGATTCCCTGCTCTGCAAATGTTGAGATGTAGAACATCTCCCTGCTTTGCATCAGGACAAAGCCAAGATATTTTTTTCATATTTTTTTGCAAAAACAAAAAGAAAACCCACGACATACAAAAGAGGAAGGAGGCAGAAACAGATGAACAGAGATAGACTTCAAAATAAATGAAATACTTTTGGCTAGGACACTCAAATTAGATTTTTGTGAAAACCCAAGCCAGTTCCTTAGGCTAAATCAGAAAAACTAGGAATTCAAATCTGGGTCTTATAAATCCCCACTGAGAGCTACAACCGTCAAGTTATTCCACTTTTTTGAACGTGAGTACCTGTTCCTGAACAATGCTCTGTCAAAACGATACATTTCCACAACCTCTCATTTGGACATCAAGCCTTTTCCAATTTGTCAACATTTCTACCCAGCCGTAGTTACAGGACTGCACCTTCGTTGTCAGCCTAGCAAAGTGGTTGCTTGAGGCTGCTTCTTTGCAAGCCCAGAAATTCAGCTTGGCATAAAGACAGAGCATTTTAATTGTTTTCTTTGCACCCATAGATAAGTCTTTTTGTTAAGTGGACACTTGGGAGCGGACACTTCCTGACATCGTATAAGCTTAACAGGATCAGCTTTACTGAAAGTAGGACTTTGCTTTTAAACTAATATAACTATCCGTGTATCTGAATTTTCAACTGCAAACCATTTTCCAATATAGTTGCAATTCTTTGCTCCCCCCTTCCTGACTAGCGGTTCAATTCCCCCACTAGGAGCAATAACAATTTACAGTATTCCCACCCCTCCATCCCCTTCCTCTAGTCTCCACTGCGAGGCATGCCTCCCTCTCAGACAGGCTACTCAAGTGCTTGTGAGTCTTATACAGTAAACGAGATGGGGGATGTGATACAACCAAAAAATAAGCTCTGATGCAAAATCTTCTACACATCTACCTACCTTTTTTATACTAAATTACAGGCAGGTATCTACAAGACAGACTGTCAAGCTGGACTAGAAGGTAGGAGGTTGCTGTAGGTCATGATTTCACTGATCTCTAGGATGGAATTGTTTCATACTCGAGCTGGCCACCACTTTGCAGCACTGTAATGCTCAGATTCAATCCCTATTATGCAATAGTAGCATCATGCCAGCTAATTTAGCTTTCAGAATTGTATTGAAGCACAGTAAAACGCTGTGGTAAAATAAGCCTGTGGCATTAATGCCATCCATGCTAGCATTGCCCTGTGTGTGATTTGAGCACCATGCAACATCAAAAACAGAGGGGTGAACTGTAAGTAGTGTATATAACAGCAGGGTAAGTGGTGCATATTTTGTCACTCTGGCTGCTCCAGCCTCCCTTTTGTGGGATGTACAATATTTTCCATTTTTTTTTCTATGCTTCATTAAAGTGCCCCCCCTAAAAGGCGTTATTTCTTCATCAGGCAACATTTTTTGCCTAATATTGCAACTGATAGCTAACCGATAGTTTGTAGGGATATTCATTCTGAGATGGCAATTTATCCACACAGAATCTGTTCAAAGTCTGGGGAGAAGGGTAGTACGCAAAGCCTGTAGAGCAGCAGAAAAACCCTTAGGGAGAAGTCTCTAATATCACCTCCCAAAAATATGTTTTGAGTGACCTGCTTGGTATCCATGTCACGTTAATATATATATATAACTCTCCTGTTAGCAGCATGGTGACAGAGCGGATGGAAGGGAGCAGATGCAGCATGGCTCATCAAGAGGCCCCTGCTCCAGATAAAATGAGATATTGTTCTGGCCTTTTGATCTGCAGAGCAGAGGGTCAAAGGCTCTTCCCCAGAGCTCTTAATGCTGCAAAAGCATCAGCTCCTAATGAAGCTCCTAATGAGACTGACTCGCACTGGGGCAAGTCTGAGGGAGAAAGATGAACTGAAAGACTCAGCATAACAGAAGGCAAAACAACCAAACTGAACATCAGGCTTATTGAGCAGTAGAAGTCATTAGTAGATTAGCACTTTGAAAGGCAGTTACTCACTTCCCTTTTTCATCTTAGTTAACTTAAAGCCATGAAGCTAGGAGTTAAGCTAAGCAACTAGTGAGCTTTATGGAGCAAAGACTCTTGTATTTTGTTGCACTGATCCCAACAGTGTGCTAGCCAAGGTTGGGGCCCTGGCAGACAGCCCTTAAATCAAGCAGAGGTAACAGCCAGGAGAAATGTAAAATGCAGAATGCGGCGACTGGTGCAGATGTTAGCTGCTGGACATCCTGATGAACTTTCAGCCACTGGGATAAATACCTGCCGGACTCCCGGCTCACTTATCGCATGAAGGGGTACAAAAGCAAAATGATCCCAATCTTGTGTTCACTCACGCACATGGAGCAAAGCAAACTTATGTTGATACTTAAAGTGCGTAGAAGGACTAGTTTCTGATCGCTGCACAGCGCTAACAAAAGGTTACAGTCCATCCCCACAGTGGATATTTACTCATGGCATCTTTAGGTAAAACATAAGAGACATTCCTGTCAGAGTAAAACCCTATTGAAAACAGGACACACACAAAAATTATTCTGATGTAGTCAGTCAAGGTCAGGTGAGCGTTTGATCAGACCACTATCAGGATGTTAAAACACTACACAGCCCAAAGAGCAGTGCTAGACTAATCATTAGTTCACGTAGCTCTGGTTCTGATTTGCAAAATTAACTTGCAAGGGGTTTTGCAGGAATTTATAGATGGCATTCATAAATTTGCTAAGAGCATATACGACACACAGCTGTGTACGCAAGTACAGCTTTATCACTGTGGGATCGACGGGGATCGAAGGGTAGATCCCTTCGATCGACAAGGAGCTGCCTGCATCGAAGTGCAGGTAGGAGCACTTCGGTGATGTTAACCCCACAGGCACAAACACCAGCACCAGACAATGCAACACTTCTGTATCAGAGGAGGTGTCATAATTACATGGCCCCCTTACCTAGCCCCGGGGATGCACTCATCTCCCACAAATGTTCCTTTTCCTCACAAGTAGAATCTATTCTGTGGAACAGATATAATCTGTTATGAATACACATACAGCCCTGGCTAGAACTGTGAAAGAAGGTTTACACTACTACGGAAACAGCAGGACAATTGGCTAATAGAAGAAAGTATTTTTTTTCTTGTCAATTTTTATGTGTAGAAATGAAGGGCAGTTTTGAATGATGAAAATGATGTCATAGTCCCCCGGAAATCTGTGTCCCTGTAAAAATAGGAAGATTTAGCAGAGAAAATGGTGGCTTTTCACTTAAAGGGGAAGTTTATAAGTGTTCCCAAAACATCTATTAAGTGCCAGTTTAAATGAATTAAGCTAAGCCAAGTTTCACCATAAATGTTAAACATACATCTCCAGCCGCAAACTTCACCCAAATTTGCAAATATTTCCTCTACCGTCATTGGCAGGGATGAGGTATACTGCTCACTAGAATTCCCCAAATGTCTCTATTTCATCTTTAACCAAACAATATTGCATTAACAAAATACATATACACTGCGTTCTCATTTCATGCCTCTCTATCCCTTGGAGGCTCAAGACATAGTGGAAATCTATTAAATCGGTTCAATCCTTTTCTACCTCTTTAAAAGGGCTACAGCTGAACACTGCTGAAAAATCACAGGACTTACATCAGTTTACAATTTTATTCTTCAGTCATTCAGGTATATATACCGTATTCAGAGGTGATCCAGCACGCAGGCTAAGCACACAAGCAAATGTTTCATTTAAATGTAGTTATATTAGTTCAACTATTTGTGAGTCTGCCCACTATGTTTGATCTGCAAAATGACCAAATTTGAATGAAATAATTGGAGACCTGAATCTTTCCACTGTTCTGGTTTGAACGATGACGTGAATGATGCAGTCAGCATAACTAAGAAGACAGTAACCTGCAGGAGGAGAAGCAGGGCAAGAAGGTCATAAAAAATCAGCTTTTCCGCCAAAAAAGTGACATATGCATGCATATGGATACATATCTCACAATACGATGCCACTGCGTTTTATGCCCTTTACTGTAGTCTTTACTATCAGGTAAAACTTTGTGTTCCAGAGAAGTCTTCCTATCGATTTACCAATCGTGGCTTCTTCCTCAGGACATAATACTGTTGATGATAAAGCAGTCACACTATTAATATAAGTGCTCGCAATATGCTTTTTTACTTGACTCACACTATTTCTACCCTTTTGTCTTCAGGGAATTACTCTAAAAGCATCCCCACCGTAACCACCAGTTCCTGCAGTAGTTACTGTCCCACCAAGCTAGTGTTAATCATGTCTAACCTGCAGAGTGATCAGAGAAGAAATTATTAGGTTTCTACAATGTGTATCTGCTGTCCAAAAAAACAAACACCATTAAACAAAGTTTGTCATCATTTTCTCTCCAGTCATTTTACTAGCCACTGTTTCTTCTCCTCATCATATAGCCAAGCTTAAAAGCAAAGTTTTAGATACTTTAGTTACAGTTTTCAGACACTTAGCAGTTAACCAAATATATATCAGTGAACAGCTGAGAAGACTATTTAACTCACTGTTAAAAGACAGCATGCCTTAGACAGGCATATACTTTGTTCCTACAGATACTCCAACTGGATTCAATACAAATCCATTCACACACCAGAATATCTATATAAACCCACGGTTAAGCCTAGGACTCTGTTTAAATCAAATAGCCTAAAGGACTTTGTGTGACTCATAGCACACTAACTTTTACTGAGATATTCATGCAAGAAAAATCAATCAAGTGAGAAAGATCTGGGGGAAGCAGTTAGAGCAGGTCCTTTTTACCTGAAAAGTCATACTTCTATGGATTTCTGAAATGAGAGTCTGCTCATAGAGTAAACAGACTACACTTTGTGAAGATACTTCATCATGCTGACCTTAAAAGATTTCAGACGTACCACGTAACCATGTAAGCATAAACACAATTATAAGCTTGCTGCCCATTAATAAGCTCTGTGAAAAAAGATGGAAACAACACCAGTCACTTTTTCTTAATCTGTAATCACCCTACCTAATTGCTTTTGCCATCCACCCCTTTAATCCTTTTGCTGGCACAGAGCCCTCCCACACGCCAAAGCCACCCATTGCTGAAAGAGCAATGGGCTCCTTTCATTTTGAAGTCCCAGGTCTGATTAACTACCTTAACAACCTGTATATTTCAGGCCTCACTTACAGGGTTTCTAGTTTGATCTCTTTACTGGGGGAATTTTTTGTATTCTCAGAGGCACTTCACAGACTGTCCCTAACACCCACAGGCTAAAAACTTTCAAAACTGTCTTTTGATATGGCACACTCCATTCTGAGTGCCTGGATTAAGATATCAAACATCAGCCTCTGTTGACAAATGCAGCTTTTCCCAAGCATCGTTCCAAAGGTGCTCACTCTAGTATACAGATGTATTTTAGAGGTGCCAACCTACACAGCTCCAGTTCAGTTCAAACAGCTCCCCAGCTAGCATGGAGCAGACCTTAAGCTACTGTAATGGCAGAAGTTCAGCTGGTCCTTCAATACACTCTTGGGGAAAAGCAACCTGGAGCACAAGCCATCTGCAAATGGTGGCACATACAGCACATTACTGGATGATTGGGCCAGGGCTGAGCTGGAAGCCAAAGCTTTGCTGCTTCTAAGTTGTGAGCTCAGCAGGATATTGCATCTTCTACCTTACACAGAGGCAAGGTACCACCAGCTAACAACATGCTACCTCTCTCTTCCAATCCCTAATGATTTTCAGCCGTCACACTTAATTTAGGAAAGATATTATAATCCACCACACTGCCCTTGAAAAGCTGCAAATCCTTGCTCAGTTTTCAATGTCTTGATAACTTACCCTCAGGCCATGGTTTTATTGTCACTTTAATCCTATACATAGCCACACTGCCATTAGAAGGAATGGGCTGGATCACCTCTGCCTCTCTTGGCTGTTTGCTCTTGCTCCCTCCCTGTGCAGCCATAGCGCTCTAGAGCCCATCTGGCTGAAAATTAATGCACCGAAAGTCATTTCTTCCCAATCTTACCAGTTCCCTAATCTAGGTCCCAGTACGGCTATGTGAACACCGATGCTGGCACAGGGGAAGAGGAGCGCTCAAGTAGAGACAAAGGGAAGGTCTGGACTACTTCTGTTGGAAGTACAAATTATTACATGGCATTATGTCTATATGTTATTTGTTATTGACATTTAATTATTGTTACAACAGATTAAAATAACTGCTAGATCTCTTATTTTTGCCTGCCACCTCCGCTGCCTACAGGGATTCCTCACCAAGAAATGTCATAACTGTTCTTACAGGTATCTCGTTACTAATATGCACTTTTGCAAAGTGCCTTTTTTTATATATACACACTGCCTACTGCTTTGGATTTGAAGTTATGGATTTAAGGAAAAGAAATAAGAAGGGTGAAGTGAGACACTACAGCTTAGAGTAAACTAATAGCCCATAACACCTATAAAGGACACATCCTCCCTGTCTCTTTCCTTCAGCCCCTGGATCTGAGCCACCCATTCCCTCATCCCTCATGCCAGCTCTTGTGCTCACTGGACACCTTGTTGAGCTGATTCAATTCAGTAAGACAGAAAACTAACCCAGCAAAAAAACCAGCAGATGGGTTTATTCCAGATTAGCAAATGGATTCAGCTGAGTAAAGGGTCCGATGACACTGGAACAAGTGCAAGGGAGGGCATTCCTTAAGAAGAGGGAAACACAGCTCAGCTACAACACGTAGCTTCATCCTGAAGTAATGTAAGGGTCCTTGGCTAGTTTCAAGGGCAAAGACAAGATCTGTTCAGGGGATTCCATGCACAGCAGTCTGGGATATATATCCTAATCCCTGAGTTAGACTGTGGGACCACTACTTGATTTGGGTCTTTTCAAGGCTTTTATGAAATGCTTTGTTTATATCATGCCATACAAACCCTCTAAGTTTTCTGGGGTCATATCCTACTGCAGCGATGCTAACAACAGGCTATGTCACACTTCAATATTTCCAAGCAAAACTGAGAGAAGACACCTGACAACCATTCAACCTTTGAATTGCTTTTGTCTTTACTGTTAAGGTTGATCAACTGGTTGGGTTAAAATTTCACTCTTGTTTCAACTGACCACATCAAACAAGGCCAGGTCAAAATATATCATTAAACTCAAGCAATTGCATGTTATTTATGGAAAAGATAGTTTTTCAGACAGATAGATGCCTAAGATAATTTTGCAAGAAAGACATAGCTTTCCCCAATGGTACCTCAGTAAGACTACATGACTCTCTGTTGGCTCTATAAGAGCCCATTTCTAAAAATGAAATGCTCACACAGCTTCCCAAATGGTGGAAACTCACTTTATCGTGTAATGATGGAGGAGGAGAAGCGCATTTTGCCAAAAATGCAGTAAGAACACAGCACCACTGACCCTGTGAACATTAGGAGTCTCTACAGACTCCTGAGTGACTTGAAACATCATCTTTTCTTTTCAAACTTCAAATGAAACGATTGTGGAAAATTTTCTCTTCCCTCAATAGTCTCCTTTTTTCAATAAAAGATTAAAATTTATTTTTCTAAAAAAGAAAAAAAAAGGTCTGAGCTTTGGAGTCTCTTGGCGTTCGGACTGGTTCATTTGCCGGAAGACTTCTTCCCTCAGAGGAGGACGGCCAAGGTCTCCTTATCACTTCCACCATGTACCAGCAGAACAATGAATTGTCTTTTGCAGTATCCAGAAGACATGAAACACATTCTTTTTCATTACAAAACAGTTCCACTATTATGTTGATCTTTTTCATTCAGTTTAATGACTAGCCACTAGACTCAGTAAAAGGAAAATCTACAGGATGCTCTGTTACAAGGCTGGTTTTATTCCATAAATATACATGGCAAGCAGTGACAAAGCATTGCTCAGGCATGACATCTTTGTACCACATCTGCATAAGGTTCCCTCTCCAACTGCTGTAGCTGTTTCCTCTCATTTAGTGATGAGAACCCAACTTGTTTGTACTAACCTTCATCCCTGTGTGGTCAGAGAGCTGCAGGATGACTCTTCTACTTCTCTGTATTAGTCAGTGCTAACATGATGACAGTATAGAAGGTGGCATCATTATCATGTGGATATATTGGCTGTGGTTTATTTCCTATGGAGGGGAATGCTACTTTGAATTTATGAACGGAAATCAATTTAAAAATTCCACAGGGGGTTTATTTTGGTATAACGCAGCTCTGGTGCTGAAAGGGGCTGCCTTTCACGTGTCCACGGCTGCTTACTCCTGCCTCCCCCTTCTGCCAGCACTAGCATTCATGTGGTAAACCGTTTCAGGGAAATAATCCAGCTGAAGACTAACCATTTTTTTGCCAGCTGAGTTTTAAGTCAGATAAACTCCCTGCTCCAATTCACTCTTGGTGCACAGACACTGCTGGCAGTGTGAGGGAAGCAGTGGAGCAGACAGCCCATGTTGTAAGGCAGAGGGGAACTCATGCTGTCAGCAGCAGCAGCTGTTCATCCCCGCTTAAACTGATCACGAACCTATAGATTAGTTAAACTGATGCCAATCACTGCATGGATTTTCTTATTTTCCTGTTACTCACTCCCTCAAGTCAATTATTGGCAGATTCAAACTAACCTGATGTAAGCCATTCTTAACCTGGAGTAAGAAAAGCTGCTCACGGCATTTATACCATTTATTTAAACTAGAGTAAATTCTTAAGCCTAGCTCTACACTTCATATGTACATTGAGAAGAAAGAGCAACAAAAGTAACCCCTATAGGAATCCCACAGAAAATTCCTTACAGTAAAAGAGCCAGTCTGGCCAGCCTATCTTGGGAAAGTCCTGTGAGAACATAGCAGAACACTCAGTTAAACGTTTCAAGTTTTACATAGCATGTAGAAATGATCAATTCCTGGGCAGCTATCAAAAATTGGAGTAGCAGCCACAGCCAGCAACAACAACAAAAAATCTGAGGCTGGCCTAATGTTAGGCCTTTCCATCCAGCATCCTCATCGTTAATGAGCTAAGCACCCTGAGAGCGCCCAGGTGGGAACACCTCGGCTCTCCCCTTTCTGCAGAGGGCTGAACTTTACCCAGGCTGCCAGCTTCCCTTCCCAGGATTCTCAAGCCGAAAATGGATGCCCAGGGGGATATGTGCTGTCCGTTGTTCCGTATTCTACATAAGTAATTTAACGTTGTGCCGCTCTGGTTAGAGATCTGGTCCTAGCCCTAAAGCAGAATGTGGGAACCTAAAGCTCTCAAGCTGGCAGATGCATTGGCTGCACCAGCCGTCATTCGATTTTCTGTAAGCCTGAGCAGGTTTTCTCATGCTGTTTCCAGAAAGCCAAGGACATGTGCATTTTCTTCTTCCTCATGTGTCTCTTTTCAGCTATGGCTCCCTCCTATCCTCAGACATCTGTTGATTTTGCAAAGTTCACAGAAACACCGAATATCAGCACATGACTACACCTGATAGGAAACACAAAGAGTAAAAATCAGCCCCTACTAAGCATGCTTTATCTTTCAGCATAGCCCTCCACTCACACACTGGGCGTCAATGCCAGAAGACGGTAGGTTATGGAGCTACAACACCTGGATGAATACAAGAAGTATCATACACCCTTGTAAAGTATCCCTGTGTTTTCCTACCGCTTTTTTCCATATAGAACCCTTGCCCTAGCATAGCAACTAACAGCACTAAAGACTCCTAATCAGTACTTAACCAATACTTAACCATCTCTTATGCACACAGCACTTGCCCGAAATTTTCAGGGCCAGCACTTTAGCTGGCTCCACTCTTATCTTATTTAAAGCTGATAACAGAGGTGCGTCTCTCCTTACCACAGCTCCTCTCAAAATCTTGGGCAGAAGCAGGACACTTTCTGGCAGATTTGGTCAACAAGCAGCAGCAACACTTTTCCGCAGCATCATGCCAATCCCCTGTCTGTGGGCAGTCAGGCACCAGTGGCATCCTAGCAATTTTCCTCATCTCAGCTCATATGAGTGCCTTTTTGGAGAGGCTTTAGGAAGAAAGGAGCAAGGTATCACAGCAAGAAATGTTTACCAAGTGCTTTATGGCTCTCTGGGCTGTTAGCTCTTGCACTTACAGGGGTGACTTCTGATCTTAAACAAATGGCACAGGGTGTGAAAATTGATCAGTATTTCTTTACCGGCATCCCCGTTTGGAAAGCTACCCCTAGCACAGAGCTAGGAATCTGATACCCAGAAAAGCTCTTCAGTAGGGCTATATTGACACTGCATTTACCAAAAAATACAGCAGGCGTGATGTTCCTGTGTTTACTTATCTCTGTTTATTTTTTCTGCCTTCAGTCTATAGGGAGGAGAAAACCATCCACTAGATCCTAAATGACAGCGCTTCAGGTCTGAAGATTGTAACTTAAAGTTATACTACCAGCTGGACAAGGTTGAAAATGAATGTTGTCTTCCTCATACAATAACGTAAAAGAGTAACAAATGTAATTTAACTATGGCTGTTCTTTTTGAACTTCAAGCACTATATTTTACAGCTAAAGAGAACAGAGGCTTGAACTCAGATTAAAATAAATGTTGTTTGAATTGGAAGTGCTTGACTTAAAGAAACATTTTCATGTCCTCCGAAAACTCAAAACATACACATATTGTCAATACATGCAAACCTGACACCTCTGTCACTTTGTGTGAAACACATTACAGACCTAATTCAGGACAACCGTCTGTACTCATGACAGTACTTGAACACACTTGATAGGATTTAAGCAAGCACCCAAACCTTGACATATGTTTACTTAGCGGTCCTCATGAATCACAGCACATAGAGGCAGGCAGCATAATAGTGAAAGATTAACATGTCTCTCCAGAATGATTGCAGTTTAAGATAGAAGAAATAAAATGCCTTCCTGAGTTAACGTATTGCGATTTTTATCATGACACTCTTTGTATTAAATATCTTAACTACATGTGGAAGTTTATAAATTCTTCCAGTTCTTCCAATGAGGAGTTACCTGGTTATGCACAAATGTACATCAAAGACACTTAATTCCGAAAGATTTGCAACTTCAGTGCAAGCCTGGAACAAGAGTAACTTTAGGTAAATCATTTTAAATTGGTAACAAATATAAAGCAGACCATGAAACACGTTACCTTGAAGCTAAAGGAGTTTGCCTACATCTACCAGAAAATGGTTGAGCTTGTATCAGTTACAGTCAGCTGTTGCGCCCTCAGTGTGAATGGCACATCCACTAAAGCTAATGTAACACCGTAAGCACTTATTGCAGAAACACCACTTTCATATCTCCACCCACACACTTCTGTCCTCTCCAGAGGTAAGTGTTCCCGCAGGAGATGCGAGAGAATAAGCTCTCAGAGCACCCTCCCCATTGCAAAGCCACTTGACTTAGTCTGGACTGTTCTTACAAATTGCACCAACCTTTATACCAAACCGGATGAGGGGTGTTTGCAACATTCAAACCATTAGCTTAGAAGGGGCAAGGCAGACAAGTGTCAACCATGGGGAGTAAAAACGTCAATAGACTATAATGTCTTTAACCCCCACAGTGGTTTCTGTAGTGAGGGTCTGACCTATATCCCTGCTGCAGGCACAGCAATGCTAGCCCAGCTGCAATTTGTCCCTCCCTGATTTGCACAAGTTTAGCAGCTCAGGTAAAGGCAATGCACATTCTAGTGGAGCAGTTCAAGAAAAGGCTGCCCAAAGCTGCTTTTTTACCTCTCTCCAGCTGCAGGTCTTTATGCCCAAGCTGCTGAACTGTAGCAAGCTTGTGTGAGTGCTCCCTGTCCACTCAGGGTATGTAGTTGGTCTAATTTAGGTGTCTCAAGGAATATTTACTAATGGGTCTGCTGTGGGAAAAAAATCGAAAAGTTTTTTAAGAGCATATTAAAGGCTCTTGCAAGATACTTTGTCAAGATTCATATACTGTTTTATGAAGTGCTGTTGGTAGAAATCTGCAATGCAAGCTCTATGTGAGGATTTTCTTCGCTGCAAAGCAAGTGATACAATCTTATAGTTAGAGCTGTCTATGGGAAACACTTTTGGAGACAAGACATTTAGGCAGGACTGGTGGGTTTTTTTTTCTTTTTTACTTCATTACACATATATATACCTCAGTTCTGCAGAAATTACAGTTTTCTTTTTCTATGAAGTATGTGATGTCCGTGTATTTTCTGACATTAACAAATAAACTTTGGAGCTGAGATCTCCTGGCTTGGGTTTTTTTGCAGTCATGGGCTCTTAAGTTTCCCCTAGCTGCTCCCATTTCGCTCCACCCTGCCAACAAGGCATGTAAATCAGGGGCAGGCCAGGGATCCCAGCCCAGAGAAATGGTCACTGCCTCCCAGGCCCTCAGTCAGGGCTCAGCCAGCAGTGTCGCTGGGGGCGATGTCTTTTCTCCATTGTCATAAGCTGGAAAGAAAGAGGAAAGTGTCCTCCAGCCTTATTTCTCCCTCCCTTGGTGACGCATAGGGTGCGAGAACGGCTACACGCAAGAGGCCACGGTGAGGGGCTTGGGACCCTCTGCACAAGCTGCCTGAGCGATCACACCAGCATTTCAGGCTGCAGGAAAATGCACCGGGGACAACACGTTAGGTAAGGCTCTCTGCCCTGCCAGGTACCTCCGCTGGCTAGGGAGGCCTTTCCTTTTAGCGGTGCTTTGTGGGGAGACAGCTAGGCCCAGAGACTGAATGGGACAAAGGTACCTGGAACTGCAGATCAGGTGAACCTTGACATTTTTCTTCTTGCCTTTGCTGCTTTTGTAATTCGCTGGTAACAAACTAGTTTTGTTTAAGGAATGCAGAAGGAGGCATTTGGGGCTGGCTGTCAACCAGCAAACATATGGAACCTGTGGCTTTGTGGAAGAAAATGTAATGCACGTGTCCTTGCGATTCTTTTTTTCCAAGATAATCTGAGATTTTTGATGTGCTAATCCATAAAATTTTGTGTGACAATGATGTGCTGACATAAAATTTTTATGATATACACTATATGAATAGTTGTTAATGCTCAGAAAAAGCATTTTCTCAATTTTTGTTTTGGCACATATTTCTTAGTCCCATATATCAATTCCATTTTTTTTTTTTTTTTTTTAGAATTCTTTTTACTGTGACTCTGGTCTGGCAAGCCATTCATTTAGGAAAAGGTAAGGAAAATTTCATATTCCCGCACCTTTCTCTTGTACCTTTACAGTATGCATTGTTTCATTGCAAGCTACCCTTCTCTTTCCTATTTGCACTTGTCAAGGCCGTGAAAAAGAAGAGCATGAAAAAGATGTGGAAAACATCAACGCCACAGCACAAAAGCAACAGCATAAAAAAGAAAGGACTGTTATAAATACTCTCAGTGACATGAATCAGAGTTATGAAAGCAGAAAGCAGCAGCATTCCAGGACACTTGTACCTTTCACTGGGATTACAGAGAGTGGGTAACATTATTTATTTAAACAATGTCATAAAATTGCTTTTTTAAATATTATATCACAATAATGCTTTGACTGTACTCCTGAGCACTGACTTGGCTGGCAGATTTCAGCCTGTTGAATTTATACAGGAGCTAATTTAAACTATTCTCATGGCCACTTACAAAGTGGTGATAAAGATTTAAGGTAGAACTTTTATCTTTTAAACTACATCTTAAACTACTGTCTTTTAAGCTAGACCTTTTATCTGCAAACTGTTTAATGGTGATAACAGAAAATAGAGAAAGAATTTTAAAAAGGTGTTCCCTCGGGCTTGCACAGCATTTGGTAAAATTTGGTCTATTTCATGGTCGAAAGGTACATACTTAATTCGAAGGGGGAAAAAAAGGACAGTTTAATATCTGTAAGCAACAGTACTGTCAGAAAAAGCAAGGGCAAATTTTTGTTTCCTACCAGATACGCACGATTTAGATTGGTAGCTCTGCCCCAGACACTTGAGACACAGTTGAGAGAAAGTCTCCTTCCCTTCTCAAAAATAAGCAACACTTCCCAGTAACCCTGCCTTGTCTTGTAGTGTGACTGAAACCTGCCTCCGGCAAAGTGAAATATTTCACCCGAGTCCATGCTGCTTCTGCAGGACTTGCCAGGCGTTGCCTCTTGACCATCCTGTAATCCCTAGTAGTTTGCTTCTAATCCTTAACTAAACAAACTCGGCTTAACTGAGCAAACACTCCTAACAGGCAGCTAATTTTATTGTCTCTAAAGACAATAAAACTAGACATCCTTAAGATCCTTTGGCAACGGGAGAGACCCGAGAGAGCAAGTGAGGAAAAGGGGAGGACCGAAGCCCCCTGAATTCTCTGGAAAACAGGTCATATTGTCTTGCAGGTAAAAAACTGAACAGGCACTGCTGCCAAAATGGAGGGACCTGCATCCTGGGGACTTTCTGTGCCTGCCGAAAGCATTTCACTGGCAGATACTGTGAATATGATGAGCGGCAAAGGTAACAGCCAAGCCAAACCAAACCCAAGCAGAGGCAGACAGAGCCTCTCTGGGTGGTTATTTTTTGTGGGCGATCGGGGTTGTACCAAAAGTCTCCCTTGTCCTTGACAGCAACTGTGGCAGTGTTGCCCATGGCGCCTGGGTGCTGCAGGGCTGTCGGCTGTGCCGGTGCGGCTACGGTGCCCTGAACTGTCTCTCCGATGTCATGCATGGCAGCTGCGGTAAGGGATGGTGCATGCAGTCACCTTGTTTTATTTTGTGCTTAACAGAGCTGCCCTCTGCAAAGGTGGAGGACCATGCACGTGCTCTGTTTAAACTTAGGCAGGGGCCTACCTTGCTTCAGAGAATACATTAGTGAGACAGTAAACAACACAGCTGTTGCTTGCACAGTATGTCACATAAAATATTTCGAGATGCTTATAATATTTCTGCACAGTAGGAAACTAATTCCCCCATTTTAATTGAAAATTACAATGATAAATGTTTCTCCTGTTCTGCAAACTTGCCTATGTCCATGACTTCCCATTTTACCAGGACCATTTGTATCACTAAACTACATCAAAGCATAAAAAATGCTTAAATTGGGAGGGAGCTGGCCATACTTAAAAACTATTAGATTAAGCTGGTGAGGTAGAAGTACAAACCAGTACTAGACTAGCGAAATCAAAGCACTGAAAACTTATGTGATCTTGCATGAGCTACTTACCCCACAAATGGCAGAAAATGGGTCTGAATTCAGAGCTGTATCATAATCCCCAAAATATCTTTATATAGAGTTCTAACACTGATCACACTGCACAAAAACGTGTAGCCATTGGCCCTGATTTGCGTCCAGCAGTAACATCCATACTTTCATACTCCTAGGAGATGACTCTGATGAGTTTAACAGATCTCCAGGGGAAAAGCCAGTGCAAAATATTCCTGCCCTCCTCCATCGGTGGTGACTCATTCCCATCCTGTACTGTAACTTACATCTCCTTCAGTTGTGCTAATGTCACAGGTTAGCAGGGCAGGGAAACAACAAACCTAAATAGCTTCAAAGATTTACTTGCACCCCGAGAAACTATCAGGAACTTGTGCAGGAAAGGAAGAGGTCATCTGAACAGCAGTACATTGAATCTGTGACTCTTCAGCCTTGCCACCAACTTTGAATAAAACACAAATTTCCAAACTTGAGCCTCTCAGATCCCCAAGGAATGCCCTACTGCACAATAAGCATATAAGCCCAGTGAGGGGAAATGCTTAAAAAAGCAATTATTCCTATCTTTGCAACCACAGCCAAAAATACTTTTGCCTTGAAGTCTTCTCCGTTGACTACTTACATGTGGCAACTAAGCAGCTCTAGTTAAACCCTTCAGAGAGCTAAATGCTTTCTCGCCAAGTTTCTTTGAATGTTCAACTCTGAATCAACCCTACTGCTGCCTGTTACAGGAGCGAAAGATTTAATAGGCCTGGCCCTGCTCAGTAAAAGTAGTCTTACTGCTCCTGAGCTCAGCTTCAGAGGCAGTAACGGTGCCAGAGGGAATCAGCTGCTCACCCCCTACCTAGGTGAGGGCATTGCTTTCTGCTTGTGCTAATGGGCTATAAATGGAGGCCCTTCCTGTTTAGGGAAGGGTTAAAAGGCTCCGTGCAGGCTTGAGTGCATACCTCTTGTGAAGATCTTGCTCTTGCTTTTGCTGGGTATTTACTTTTGATTATTCTGAGATTAATTCCTGCAAGAGCTGATAAGTGCTATCAGTTGCTGCTCAAAGGATCATTGATGGGACATCTATTCACATCTCTCCCTTGAGAATAGCTTCTTTGATTGGCTTTAACAGTTGATACCTTTAACTTAAGTACCTGTAAGACACTGGAGAAGTTTCAAAGTATGTTGAACATCCTTATATTTTACACAGTTTGCATTTTACTCGTTAACTGTTTTATTGGTATTTTGGTAGATCTGAAAGCAGAAGAGGAGGAGATGCCCAGACTATATTCTAGTGGCCTAAGATTACAGCAGACAGTGTTTGCACTCTTTTGTCTGCTCACCGTCCTCCTGGAGCTCTGCTGCTGGCAGCTGTGAAACTGTACAAAGGAAATATCTCTGGGTTCATGTATCATGAGTCACATGCATTTTTTTTTTTCTCCTGTACACTAGGTGATGCTTCCACCTACGTGCCGGAGGCGTATTGAGAAGTATTTAGTTAATGTTGAAATGCTTGGATTATTATAAACTCAGATTATATGAATGTGAAGTATTTATTATTATTTTATTATTTTATTACTACTGTTAATGTCAGATTCTAACAATTCTCTAGTTTTAAAACATTGTTCTTCCAGTGGAAGAAAAAACCCAATGTTCTATGCCTAAAGTATTACAAATTGTAGTCATTTCCTTTGTACATCATACAACTACTCTAACAAATAAAGTTAATTTTGTTTCAGAAGAGCTTTTATGTTTGACTCCTTCAAATATGAAAATTCTACCTACCGTTCGTCATTGTATTGTATCCAGAAAAAAAATGGTTAGAAAAAGGCAGAGTAGAATGAACAGTCTGAAATTTTGAAAAGATAAGGAGGGTTTTAAGGGCATATTTCAAACCCTACAGAAGAACTCAAAGTTAGACAGTCTTTCAGCTTTTATTATTATTTCTTTTAGCTAAATGGCTTTTGTGCATAATCTTAGGCAGGAAGCAAATATTTCTGAAGAACACATGGTTGATATGTATTCTTCTTTTTTGATTTCAGTTTACATCCTAGAAATATGAGCCCTTCTTTTGTTTTTAAGTAGATGATAGTGAAGAGCAACCTCTTTACACTTTTCCTATAGGCAATCTATCTTGATTTATATACCACTTAAATGTTAGTATTTCCAGGCTGTAAAATAAAAATGTTTGGAACGTGTGACTGCATTTGTGATGCAAGTTTATAAGACATCAACAAAAAAAAAATCGTTAAAAAAAAATCTGCAAAAAGAAGCGTCAAAGGTACCTTCATTCTCTGAATGGGAAGCTACTGCATAGAAATAAATCAGCTTTATGATTTTATTGGCTCTCAAGCCATTAGTGTTCCCTTAATAGTTTTATAAATCATTAATGATTTTTAAAAGCTAAATAGTTTTAACTCTTTTAAATCTCTTCATTAATTTATTTAGTACCACAAACCATGACAACAATTCAGTTACTAAGCAGGGAAAGACAACTTCATATGTTGGCTGCATTTGAATCTAGGGCTATTCAGTAATAGAAAATGATTCCCTAAAGACATATTCATATTAAACAGTGCAATTCGGATTGCCCCTTTCCACACCCTGAACTTTGATGAAAACAGAGTAAGGCTTCTTAACCTTTACATAAGATGCACTAGACCGAAAAGGATCCTTTCCTCATAACATTACTTCCCAGAAACTCATCTGTGCTCATATGTCGGTGTTTCCTCAGATCTAAAAAAGTCAGATATCAAGACAATTAAGTACCAAGAAGAACAGGTTAGAGGAAAACAGCGATGCCTTTAATGGCATCTTAACAGAGATGCCATTAAGAAAACATCTTGGCTTGCCATAAAGCGTACCTGAGAAGTCTATAGGCAATGCAACTTGTAACGTTTCAAATACGCTTTACTTTTTGAGGAAAAGCAGCAGGATATGCAGAAGGTACACAGTATAGTAAAATCTTATTTGAAATATTACACATTATTTCTCATCCCTACAGAAAACAGACAGAGTCATTAGAGACAGCAATTAGCAAAAGGCGAAGAGTGGTCTAACAGGGTTTACAACTGAAGAGCTATATCTGAGCAATAACATTCGTAGCAGAGTTAATCAGAAAAAGCTGTTCTAGAGTAATTCCTTATGTAGATGAGCTTACATGCCTGCAGACTCGCCTTGATTGAGCTATACATTATTGGGACGGTATGACTTGAAGGATTAGAGCAATTGAAAAGTCTAGCAAAGCAGCATTTTGCTGCTGCACCAAAACATCAGTCCAAGACATCTAATTAGAAGCAGCAAGGTATGTTTTCAAAGCATTGCATGGGGAACTTAGCTGGGTAAGTGTTTCTAATTAATGTCAGTGTAAATCACTACTCACTCTAAATGCTAAGATTTCAAAAGTTATCCTGTGTACCTGGAAAATGTGACAGAGATGCTTTTCTTTTTTAATTTCCTCTTTTCTCTGTCTCATGCCTTTGCATCCTGGGTTACAGGAACATCTGAAAATGACTGCTTCGGGACTGCTTTACACCTACCATACTAGGGCAAAGCATATCCTCAATGATTATTAGTTCAGGAAAATGTTTGCCTGCTCTTTGTGTCAGGGCCTGGAAGTTGCCATCAGTAGCACAGAGCAGAGTAAAAAAGGCTGTTACTCTTGCATACCTAAGTAGCAAAATCAGCCGTGGGAGCTGAGTTTGAAGTGAAACAGATCTTAAGTTGAAAAAAAAAAAGAAGAAAAGAAAAAGTATTTGAAAGCTGTTGCATATATCGTTCTGTTCACAAATAAAAATATAAATAGGAAGGACAAAAACAGAAAGCACTGAGACACAAAGGAAAGCACACAGTCACGATCTTTGCTTAGGTTAAGACTGTCTCTGCTTTTATCTGTCTCCAGCTGTTTGAAAGAACAGATAAAAGAAAGCATTATTTTTCTCCCCTGCTACCACGTAGGCCTGGCCAACCTTCTCACACTGCAATTACAAGCACTTTAGTAAGGTTTGTTTATAGCAAACAGCGATGCTTACTCTTCAGCCTCATGCTAACTCCTTTTATGGGCCACTCCGTCAAACACGGCACGTCTCAGCAACCTAGACATCTGTTGCCACAAGTTGGTGCATGTGCCCTCTCTGTATGCGGTCGCGTTTGGGAAGAGAGAAGACCGTCAAAGAGAAATATTTATCAAACACTTCCCAGGTCCCGGAGCCATTAGACCTTCCGCTGCTCACAGTTGACTCCAAAACTAAAACAAATGGTGCAGCCCATGACTGGCCTCCGTGGCTTCACCCGTGTGAGCAGGGTGCCTGTTGCACCAATACAGGCCCAAAAGCACAGCAGCAGTGAGGCAGGGGCTGTCCCTGCACTAGCTGCAGTGGGCACCAAGAAAGTTTTAAAATTGAAGCAAGCCACAAATTTGCAGGGGGTTGATGCCCTCCAATGCTCCACGTGTTGCATTCAGAAGGCAGTGATTTTATTTGAATAAATTCCATCTTGACTCAAATAACACATCAAGACTTTCTAATACAAGCCCATAAGACCACCTTACCTCTGCAGGCACGCGACACTAAGAAAGCGTCACTCATTCAGCACTTTGAGTAGCTGATGGTTCTCTCTCAAGGTGATTTTATTCCTAGTGAGGAAAGATGAATTTCTGTTGTCCCTGTGAAGCGCTAATGGTGCCCACAGGTGCCAAATCCTTCCCTCACCTATAACTGTGAAAAAGACTTTTTTTTCCAGCTGGCCAAAACAAAATCAGTAGTAGTTTCCCCTCACTTGTTTTTGCAGAGTTGCGGGGGTGGAGGGGGTTGGCATTTTAAGATGACTAACATCTACCTTCGCACATTTTGTTATTTGTCTTTTGCTGACTCTGAGTGTGTCAGCAAGCTGTGGTATTTGGATCGTTACACCTACCTTTTTCATGTGCTTGAGCAAATATACAGCAATTTTGGCTCCCATTCATCAGAAGAGTAATACAGTACAACAGACTGGCTCATGTACTAGGCAGACCTGTAAATTGCAAGTTATAGGTGTATACCAAGTGGCAGACTGTCAAGTCACCCTGCAATCATTGCCTACAATTCACCGTCTTTCTCACCTTTCTCCACACAGTCAGGTAGGAGTATGGGAGGCTTATGACAACCACAGCAGCTGTATACATGTCCTCTGCAGAATTATCCAAGCATCATAAATATTTCTTGCAACTGTAAAGCACATCAGAAAGGACATTAAAACCTGTAATTCCCTCCATATTTGGCTAATCTCTAAAGTAACGATTTGTGGATGCTGGTAATAAAAATTCTAAGGCTGACCTTGTGCTCAGCTGGTGGTGCTGTGTGGGTGACTTCTTGTTAAGAGCACAAAGTCACCATATGCCATCAGAATAAAGCAAGATGCCTTTGCAAAGCTACAGTTTGTAAACCAACCTAAAGGCTTCAATTCAGATACCACGTGTACAATATCTGCATGAAATGCTGGGAAAGTACCACAAGTGCAGGAACATTCATAAAGGTTCAAAAGCAAACAGCCCAAAAGGCATCAGCATTATTGATCCATTATAGATCCACTAGTGAGGGGAGCCTTGTTATCCTGGGTGAGCCTCCTGCATCTGGCCTCACAGACTCAGCAGAACACTTTTTTTTTTTTTTTTTTGCCAGCCAAGACACAACATTTCTCATTTCTCCATACATTCTGTGGAGCATATTTGGTTACTGTTACCTGGGGAGTGGAATCAGGCACACAACCTAAGAGGGCACAAGTCACCTTATTTATTGCCTAATATACACAGCAAAGGCTGGGGTAAGCATGCTACTAGTGAATATGCTGCTCTGCATGGTGCAGTACAGGCAAAGAAGTGGTTCAACGCTGGAAATGCAGTCTTTGCAAGAACATCTTTAAACAGAACAACTCTCATGCTTTGCACATCAACCTTGTTCATTCAGCCACAACATTATGTCCTCTCACCCTCAAAGCTGTGCAATGCAGCACCAGCAATGCAGCTGCTCTGTTGCTTGGGCACTTCAAGGGGCAGGTGCTGCTGGTCAGCCCAGCCCATGGCTTCAGCATGTGGAGAATTAAGATCTGGAGCAACAGAGAGGACACTCCACCACTCAGCAGCACACACTAACACAGCTCAACAACTGAGAGACAGGCCTTCCCTCATCGTTCACACACATAATTCTATTAAAATCCACTTTAACCTTCTATTTAGAGGCTACTACCTCTAGATCTCCCTTGCTTACAAGAGGGTTTTTTGTTTTTGTTTTTTGGGAGAGCATAGAGATTGACTCTAGGAGGAACTTAAATAAATCTCTAGATAATACAAGAGGGCTCTCCATCTTCGCCTTGACTAGAAGCAACTCAGGACATCATTGAGG